TGAGTGGCACCAGCTGAGAGGCATCAGTAGCCAGGAGTCACAGCAGCTGCGGAACGGTGTGTGCTCCCTGATGACGGGCACCTGGGCAGAGCATCTACTGCAGCAGCCTCACCAGAGTTCTCAGGGGCACCAGAAACTCGAAGCGCAGGGTCTGAAGCTCCATCCCAGGGGAGACTAAATTGGTTCTGGCTACCTCCTGACCATGTACAGGATGCAGAAAGGGTATTACACCTCTGTGCCCACTTACCCAAGAGTACTGAAAACATGTGGGCAGGTCACTCCGTGCACCCACCACACCCAGGAGCTCCCCTTCTCTCCTAAGGCAAGCCCAAGCCCTCTCCCCCTGGCCCCCGCCCCCACCACCACACGGTTCCACCATCTGAACCCCAGGCTCCTTTTCGACCAGGTTTGTCCGGGGTGTGGTTCCACTCTCATTCTTCAGCGGAGAGATCCCATTGGGGGGGTGGGGGTTCCTGGTGCTCACACTCCTTTGCAGCCCCCCCCCCCGACTGGTGATTGTGCTCCACTCCCAGGCTCAGAGAGGTCCAAGGACACATCCTGTTATCCATTCATTTTTAATAAGCCTGGAGTGTTCCCGCTTTTTCGAGAGAATCGGTACACACCACAGGAGAGACAGGAAGAGACTTTGAACAAGTCACCCGTAGCATGACCGCCCACTCAGAGCTCCCCGAGTGTGCTGTACCCTGAGTCAGCCTCTTCTGCTCATGCAAGTATTTCTCATCCTGCACGCACACTTACACACACAGCCCTCACCTTGGTTAATCGCAAGGATGTCCTTGTCCCCGGGCCCCTGGGTCTCTTCTAAGGAGTTGGTATCACAAGAAGTTCCTGGGCAGCTGGAGATGGAGGGCACTCCGAGGGTCAAGCCTGGCGCAGACAAACAAGCATATATACACCAACGCCAGGGCCAGGGCTGGTGTCAGACTTATAGACCCAGCTTCTTTGTGAATGGCAGGCCCCCAGTAAGGTGCCTGAGCTGGTGCCAGGCGTAGACCACATCCCTCATCCAAACCCATGCTTGGTTGGAAAGCCAGCCCCGTGCTCTGAGCACAGGTGTGTGGGGGGCGAAGTGGGGGCTGGGGGGCTTGTCAGGGAAGAGGCAGGATGGAGGGAGGCGGAAATGCACCAGACTCTACCCTGATAGCAGTGCAGA